CGAGTACATCTCGAGGCGCTTGACAAGTGCATGTTCCAACTGTGATTTTAGGCTCTGAACCATCTCCTCCTCGTTGAACTTCTCAATGGATGTAGACGATTCAATCCCTCTGATCTGTTGTTGGTAAACGGAAATCTGTTGCGAAGCTTCACGGTGAATCTGATTTGCATGTTTAGCTGATTCCTGCTGCCTTCTCGCTTGCCATGTAGGATCTCATCATTGCAATCTCCCGCTTCTGCTCCACGATCATTCCCTCAGCTTGTCTCATCTGTTGCACCATTGCGTTCGACTCCATGTCTTTCTTCTCCCCGTATTGATATGCGTTCATTTCTGCCTCGCGCATCTGTTGCGCTTCCGCCTCAAACTTGCGCCAGGCCTCTGCCATGTGGTGTTGGTGATGACTCACAAGATGCCCCGATTGCTTGCTGGCAATGTCGCATCGTCTTTCCAGCTCCTGGATCCGGATGGTGCTCCCATAGTCTTCTTGATGAAGATTTGCCATTGCCGCTGACATTTCATCAATCGTCTTCTGATACTCCCCGATCTCCATCTCCATCTTGTTCTTATCTTTGATTGCTGCGCGAAACTCGGCACTCGTGGGCGATTTGGATCTCCCACCTTTTGATGTCGACCTCACGCTCTTCTGCGGCGCCCGCGGGGTCGCTGGTGAAGATGATGATCTTCTCGGCGGAGAATCTCTCTGTTTCGACTCCTGATGAATAGCGACTTGGTTCCATGATCTCGTTGGTGTGGATATGTCGCTGAATAGTGCGGATCCACCGCTCCCAGGTTCATCCTGTGAATCTGCGACCATATCCACTACCGCAGGAAGAGCCATCAATCCATTGGATCCCTCCGAGCTGTCGTTCCCAAAAGTTGCAGTACTTGTCCGTCCAGTGTGGTGCTTGCGATACGGCTGATAACCTGTCAAGAGATGGCAAGGTGACGTCCCGTGGGACGCTGTCCACCGAGCCTCAAGCTGAATGTACTCAATCCCGTAGAAAGGGTATACGGCTAAACCGTTATAGCCAAACCAGTGTAAACTGTTGTAAGGGGTAATGTCCAGTAACCACACACATGTCCGATGTCAGCAGCGCGATTGAACCTGTTTTCTCTCACACAGATCGATCACAGGCGAACGTTGTTCATGCAAGACCTTGAGCCCTACTTGTAACTTGAGCCAAAATGTGGCATCCAATGGAACACTTTAATCAACAAGAACATGGACCTCAGAACGGCTTCCCAATTTAGGCACGGGGCCAGGAGGGTTTTAACAGCTTCTAACAGAAAAATACCGCGCAGGCCAACTATCCACCAAGCAAAACGTCGATCACAAAAGGACAACGTGTGGCTCTCGCTCATTGCCAGGGCACTGTTCTTGCGCCTCTTGGCTTCGTCCCATGTGCAAATATGGCAATGGGCACAAGCGTCGCCCTTGTGACAGCCGTCAGCCTGCCACAAAGCTGCGAGATGCTGCGACCAGCTTAGGGCCGATGGATCCGAGTACGTGACCCACTGCCACGTATCAAACGACTCCGCTTTTGAAGTCTGGATTTCCTGTAATAAGCCGTGCTTCTATGTGCCTTGCTGGGACGACACACTCAAGTTGACATATCAGAAGGAGGAAAGGCGCCGACTTCAAATGAAGGGTGGCTCCGAGAGAATGGAAGAAATCCTGAAGAACGGCACCTCGATCATGGATGGGATCATGTGAGGCCGCTTTGTCGTGGGTCGTTGTGCACTCCAACATCTGAGCAGCTGCACGATAACTGTTTGGGAGCTGTTCAACACTTCGAGATCAAGATGCGTCCACATCTGCTGCGAGTTTACTACTCACATACGTACATATATATATATATAAGTATATACACATCATACATAGATTTCGTGCCATGACATGGCATGACATTGCACTACGCTACCATCGCAATTGCAAGTGCAACTATAGTTACAGTGCATGGCACTACATTGCATTGCGTTGCATTGCATTGCGTTGCATTGCGTTGCGTTGCATTGCGTTGCGCTACATACATCTACTGTACTGCATTTTTGTATTTGTATATGTCCTGTGTCAGCATGTTCCCAGTATAGTCCCCAAGGTGTCAATCAGACCTGGTCCATTCCGTCGCCACATGGGCGCAAACGCAGGGCACATAACAAGTGGGTCCTCCAGAGTCCGGATTTTCTCGATGTTGTTCACAATAGAATCCGTCTGCCTGTGTGCAACAACACGCTCGTGATCAGTGGATGGTGGATGTAAAAAACGGCAGCTAACTCTTGGCGAGTTTCACCTTAGGTTGTATAAACCCCTCTTCCTCTGTTGGTTGCCCGTATTGGGTTACTTGATTTGTCGATTTATGGTGTTTTTTTCGGTTTCTGTTCTTTCGAGATCTTCTCGTTACACAACTCCAGCTGGAAACTTGCAACTTGTTCCAGTGGCGTGGTACCAAATTCCTCTTTGGCAGCTCCAGCTCAAAATCGCAAGTTTTCAGTACAACAGTAGTGCACGATGCACACTTTGGCTCCAGCGCCTTCACGCCTTCAATCGACACCGTAACTTCCGTGACTGGATACTTGACCTGCTAATACCTCCTATGCGCGGCACCAAATATTGTCACGTCTTCGGTGGGCATGTCAGTCAATGCCCAATGCACCCAAAAACGCCTATGAGCCAACACTGAGGGATTGACACTCACACTCACCAGTCAGAAAGGCCAAGGTTGAGACATGGCGCCTTTCGCGTGAAGAACAAGCAAGGATCACAGCGTCCGCTTCGATGCCGCTCCAATGCAAATGGCGAAGGGGCATCCCACGGAAGTGTCCACCTGCAGCTGCGCATGGTTTGGATAGGAAACACGAACCTAAGGCTGTGCGGAGGCGGGGGGGGGTCAGCATGCCACTTGCTTTACCCCTTTGTTGGTCTGATTTGCCCATATATTGACATGTTCAACGAAAACTTTGGGCCGCGACTCCACCAAAGGACAACTCCGCGGAGTGATCAAGCCGCGACACCGTGCAGCAGGGGGCTGTGACTGGCTTCGTGGCTCTCGCAGTCCTGCTGTGCCACCGGCAAGCAGTCCTAATGCGCATGCTTCGAATGATCGCCCATGTGAAAGAGCGGAGAAGGGAACAAAATTGCAGTCTCTGCGCGAGCCAGCGCGTGTCACTTGGCCATGGGTCAAAACCCCGTACACCCAGTGAACATCCGATTCAATCCCCACTAAAATAGGCTCTAAAATAGGTGGTAGATTCACCCGTCCCAAAATGGGATCCCAAAACGGTTTCGAACCATGGCCACTTTTGAGGTTCAAAACGAATGATCTCATCACCCTGGCAAGGCCGCCGGTGAGCCAAGAACAACTAAACACATCTTCCAGGTTGAGCAAACATCGGTGCCAAGTCACAGCTACAGCCATTGAGACCCGGAAACTAGACCTATTTTTTCGTCCCCGGGCCAAAAAATGAAATCTCAGCAGGCAGCGGTCGAACCCGTATTGTCAATGCCAGCTTGGCTAATTCATTTTTTTTTGGCAAACAGCAGTTTGAGCAGCACCACCATATGCGCACGCGGCCAAGGAAAAACAATTGCATGCAGGCTGAACAATCAAATGACAATAACTCGATGTCTGCTCATGTGACAGATACCACTGGGCACGGTACCCATTCTCTCAAGCAAGCGACCAACTCGAAGAGAACTAGAGATTTGAGCTGCAGGCTGAGTTTTGCAACATGTGCTTCCAATCCCCCTGAGCAGCCCTGGCATAGGTGTCCGTTTTGGTTGTTTTGCTTGAATTATAGATGACGATTCCTGTTTTACCAGGGAAACCCATCTATTTCCCCTAAAAGGACACCTATGAGCCCTGGTCCCTCTCACGTCCTGGCCAAGGGCAAACCTCAATGGAGGTGTTGTGGATCACTATGAGGAAAGTCTCCTCGGCATTCGCCTGGGTGAATCATTCTCAGTTGAGCAGCCACCAAAAAAGGGAAACAGGGTGCCACTGACCAACTGAGCATTGGAACCTTTTCTGACCCCCGACACTTTGGCCATGGGTCAGAATCCAAAGCCCGCACCCCCAGTGAACATCCGATTCAATCCCCACTAACATAGGTTCTAAGATGGGTGGTGCACCTACACCAAAATGGGATACCATTGGTTTTGACCCACAGCCACTTTCTGTACAACCCCCGTGCCTTGTGTTTAACCCCCCCCCCCTTACTTTATTTTCACCCCCTTCTTTTAATTTTATCCTCCTGACCACCCTCCCCCAGTCTTTTATGTTTGACCCTCTGTAACTACGTTGAGCTGCATTCATGTATTCGTCCGTTCATTGGTTCACGTTGGTGTCCAGCATGCACTTGAGTCTAGCAAGCTGCTTGCCTGGCGGCTTCTTGACATGCCAATCCGCTGGAGGCTTCACGCCTTCCCCCAGACAACAGGCCATGGGTCAAAATCCCGTTATCCCAGCTCCCACTAAAATAGGTACTAAAATGGGTGGTGCAAGTACCCCAAAAATGGTACCAAAACGGTTTTGACAACCACAGCCAACACAGCCAAGGCGCATGAAACTTGCCGACGACGTTGCCCTTCAAGGTACTGGCGCCATCAACCAAGGCCATGGCAGCTTCAGTATCTCGCCCTTGGACACCTGTCCAAAAAATGGATTCCTGACCGGGATAAAAACCCTGCGAGCGGGCGCGAAGCGTCAGTTCGAACTGGTGCCGTTGCCAGCGATATGAAGAGTTGGGACTTCGAACATCCGCAAAAAGGCGCGAAACCATGCGAAGGAAAAACATGGTCGTTACGATGACTGCAGAGTCAAACAGATTCAATCATGTGAACATTGGCAACCGAGCATGCACGTCGCTCGATAATTTGAACAACATCCCAGTGAGAACGCAGAATTCTGACTTCAGTTCAGAAGTGTTCCGTTGGCCGCTGGCGAAGTTTTCGGAAGCTTGGCAACAGCCATCATGAAGGCCCCATCACTAAGCCGCCGGGCAGTCTGGCCTGTCACGCTATCCATGATCCTGCCCGGCCACGAGTTCATGGGGCAGAGTTTGAGGGTTCAGCTTGGTTTCTGCATTTTGGAAGGACCATCCCGGGTTTGTTGCTCCCGCATGCCACAAAAAAAATTTGCCAAGAACTAGCATGAGGCACAGCTCAAGCTGTTCGATGCCGTGTCCGCGCCTGTCCAGCTTCACAGCCAGAACGGTGCCACGGGCTTCCCCGAGCTCGTTAAGGGAGCCGCCCACGCTGTGCGGCGTCATGGGCCTGTGGAAGGTCTCTAGATTTCGCACACCTTCCACAAAGAGATGTGACAGAAACCAAATGTCAACCAAGGGCCTCCCATGTGAAAAATGTACTTTTCTTCTCCACAGGCAGCTTGTGAAACGCTAGCTGTAGGTCTAGACTCCTCGCGCGATGAACATGTTTGTGCCAATACCAACCCGGGGCTGGCAGAAAACCCGTGTCTCTCAGGCTGCACGCGAACCAACTCAGCGGCATGAAGCAGCAATGATGGAAATCTAGGGCTGCAGCGTGTGTGGGGTGCCATACCCAGGCGTTCGCATGCCTGTCAGGCGCGCGCAGCTTCTCGTAGCCCGGCATGTCGTGGTCACAATTGATCACAATTGTCGAGAGGGATACTTCACTTCAATTCAAGCAATGCTGGCTATCGATATAGCCATGGGTCAAAATCAAAAGCGTACCCCCAGTGAACATCCCAATCCCCACTAAAATAGGTTCTAAAATGGGTGGTGCACCTACCCCAAAATGGTACCATTGGTTTTGACCCACTGCCATTTCTTTGAACGGAGCTCTTGATTTGCATCTTGCCAAGGGCACAGTAGTTCCATTCCTGGTTTTCGGAAAAACAAATGCCATATTGGGTCCATGGAGTTCACACTCACATGATATGCCAGGCCAGCCTGGAGTCCGCATGCCACCGTGAGGCGTTCGTGCCCCCATGGGCGTGTGCATGCCCATGGGCGTGTGCATGCCCATCGGGGTATGCATGCCCTCAGCAAGCTGCGCGAGTGCCCAAGTACTGCATTCTGCCACAAAAGCCTCTTGTCTGTTAAAGGCGCAATTGCAAGTACGATGAGTACATACCTTACAAGTCCACACCCTATCTGCCCCTTAACGATGTGGTCGCTAGCTGTGATGCCCAGCTTTGTGCCAACTCACCTTTTTTGGGGTTGCAAAATTTGCTTCCCACGTAATGCCCTGAAAGCTCCGACAGTTGCATTTCGTCTTGCGATTGCTTCCTTTACCTCACTTCATATAGCCTTCGTCTTTGTGGCTTGTTGAGCAAGCAACAAACGGACCGAGGTCTAGAGACCCAAACATGTTCAAAGGGCGGTACACATGATCCCAAATAGCTCTGGAGAAAGTGCTGTAGGCACATGCACGTGTATACATGCATGTAAATACCAAAAAATGCAATACTAGCGCGTCTCCCCTACCCGCCGAGTCATAGTGGTGCTCGGCCTTCCCCGCTAGCGAAGGCGAGCAGTTTGTCGTACTCGCAGACACAGAACGAAAATTCTTCGGGAGGAGGCCCGGTTGTCCAAGGCCTAGAGGGAACCGTAAAACGCAACTCTTGGGCGGTATGATTTTGAGGGGGGTGTTCCACGTTGCCCGGGAAAAAGCCGCAAGAAGGCCAAATGCAAGACCGCGTTGTGGACAGACTACATTTCACGCATGTGGAACCCTGGCAGCAGCACAAAACAGCTGAGGTCGTCCTCATATATAATCATATATCTATATTATTATGTTGTTATATTTAGATTATACATGTAGTGTGGATAGTGAAGCCGATCCCATCAAAGAAGCGCCCCACAGGAAACGCAAAGGCAAGCAACAGCTTCTGAAGCCGTAAGCCAAAAAAATGCAGCTCTGACGAGAGAAACTTCTGGCGACTTGAGGGCGGCGCCATGGGAGTTCGGGCCATAGGTGTGTGAGCACCCATGGGCGTCCCCCTGAAGCGAGAGACACCTCACTGCCTCACGGATCTTCCTGGTTTTCTTGGTATGTGTCTGTGGTTGTCAAAAATAGGGTAACCCCAAAATGGGAACCCAGGTAAATGGAAACATGGACGATTCAACCTGCGGTCCATATCCTGGTTTAATTTTGACCCACACCCATTTAGCTTGGCCTAAATTTGCACCTTCTGCCATGAGGCTTGCTTGCGAGACTACGCAAAGTGGATGACCGGAATGCGGACCTGTCGTGTTTGTTTTGATACCAGCAAACAAAGGCACATAGGAAACATCTCGAATCATGGAGGCTGAAAACAAGAGGCGGCGCAGCTTCAAACTTTTCATGTCTCCGTTTCTGTTTTCTGTCTCCTTTTTGTTCTGAATTCTGCTCCCCTGCTAAAAAGCGTTTTGTTGTTTTTTAACTTTTTCGTGGTTTAATTCGGAAAACCCATGAGTTGGCAAAAAATAAAGTCCTAACATCCCTTGGCAAAATGCGCCAAAGATCACGTGGTGCATTTGGCTCCAAGGCTTGGCCACTTGGGTGCCGGAGTCCCGGGCATGCCACTCATCGGCGTGCCCATGCCCATGGGCGTGTGCATGCCCATGGGCGTGTGCATTCCTGGCAGGGATTCAGAGGATGAAACGGGTGTGGGTCAAAATTAAACCACCAGGGAGCCGTAGGTTGAATCGTCCGTGGTTCCATTTACCAGGGCTCCATTTTGGGGTTACCCTATTTTTGACCCACAGCCAAGTCGGAAAGGCAACGGTAAAAAAAAAAAAAAAAACGCCAAATACAAGCGGAAAAGTGAGCGCAACTTTTGGCCTTGTGCCCGAACTTGCAGAAATCTCTTCAAGTCTTCGAATGTCATGAAGGCACCATGTCAACCTCAATGACCCCTGCGAAAGTTAACAACATTTGCCACAAGTAGCTGTTGAACTTGCTTTGAGGGGAGGCTGTCCATGCCATCGCGCAAGCGCGGTTGAGAGACCCATGGGCGTTGAGAGGCCCATCGGCGAGCGCATGCCCATGGGCGTTCTCAGGCCCATTGGAGTGCGCAGTCCTGAGAACAGGTCTCACTTGCTCCCATGGGACCTGGAGATCAAAGGTCACCCTTTCGGGACCTCTAAACAGAGCAAGCTGATACTGCGTCCATCCGAAACCTGCCGCTAGTCGTGGCCCAAGCAAACCGAAGAAGCCAACAGGCCACACCGGCAGGGAAATCTTTTCTGGCGAGTCGCAAGCCTCCCCCATACCAATGACCAAGAGCCGTCATGCCCATGCCACTTACTCTACTTGTGACGTGCAGCTGGCGATGCCTGCTCTGTCTTTTGTGACAGCTGTTGCCAGTGCCATCCAGCACACTCAAGGTTGACAAGCACTATCAAGCAACGCAATGTCTCAGTCGATTTGCAGGCTTGGCCCATTGCTAGTCGGCACTCGGGGTCAAACATCTGCAAACCAGCGCGGCAAACAACGGAAAGCGCAAAAGACACCTTTGGTTTGCGCTTGGTTAACCTTTGGTTTGCTTAACGTTTGCCTTTGGTTTGTATTTGGTTTCCTTTTGAGTTACCCTTGGTTTGCCTTTGCATTGCCTCTAGGTTACATTTGCTTTGCCTTTGGTTTGCCTTGGGTTTGCTTTTTGGCTTTGCTTTCGGTTTGCTTTTGGTTTGTGTTTGGTCAGCTTTTGGTTTGCTTCGGTTCGCTTTTGGTTTGCCTTTGGTTTGCTTTTGGTTTGCCTGTGGCTTGCCTTTGGTTTGCCTTTCGTTTAATTTTAGGTTGCAAATAATAAATGGGGAGTCAATACACAAAAAAATCCCAAAATTATTCACACCCCTGCGAAGCAAAAAGGGGGAGTTAATACACAAAAGTTTTTGTGAGAGGCAAAAAATCTGGAAAAAGTTCCCCACAAAAAGTTTGATAATTAATCCCTAGTTCAGTGCAACTCCTGTCTCTCTCTGCCCCGCCCGCCCCCCCCAACCTACCACCACCACCCTACCTTTCCACCTTTGGCGTCTTGCCTATCAGATGCAAGAAACAAGGAGATGATGATTGAAGTCCCTGAAAAGGAAGTTTAACTGAGGTCCCCAACACCCAAATTCTTTATGACAGCCCTTACTAAAAGTTGCACCCTGCCAAATTTTCAAGGGGGTAGTACAGGGAACACCCAGGAAGCCAATAATGAGATTTGTTTATTCGGGGTTAATTGAGAAAAGATTTTTAGGACTGGGGCCAAGGATGCCTGCAAGGAAAAGGGCTTCCCTTTCCAAAGAACTACTGAGTCTCCCCAGAAAAGGAAGTTTAACTGAGGCCCCAACAGCCAAATTCTTTATGACAGCCCTTACTAAAAGTTGCACCCTGCAAGGGGGTAGCACAGGGAACACCCAGGAAGCCAATAGTTTTTTAGGACTGGCGCCATGCCTGCAAGGACAGGGGCTTCCCTTTCCAAAGAACTACTGAATCTTCCCCAGAAAAGGAAGTTTCCTTTCCAAAGAACTACTGAACCAAACCAGAGTACTAAACCAATACTAAACCAATTCTAAGCAATACTAAGCCAGTCAAGAATACTAAACCAATACTAAACCAATTCTAAGCAGTACTAAGCCAGTCAGCAAGAATACTAAACCAATACTAAACCAACACTAACCAATACTTACTGGAATACTACTTAGGGAAGACCCGGTCTGACCCTCATTTTGTTTTAGGGTTTCCTCTATTGACCCCCCCCATTTTGTTTAGGGGGGCCTTTATTATTCACTCCCCTACATTACCTTTGGTTTGCTTTTGGTTTGCTTTTGGTTCACCTTTTGTTTGCCTTTGGCTTACTTTGCTTTGCTTTTGGGCAAATCCCCGTCCCTCAGAAATTGCAATGTATGTCTTTTTTTTGGGGGGGGTAGCCCTTGAAATATTTCAATTGTGGACCCCAACCCCGCAAAAAAATGCAACCCTTTTCTGGGACGAGCGTTCGGTTTGGTGGCCGCTGAAAGCCCGCAAGCAGCAGTCTTGGAAGCGTTGTGAGAATTCTGGTGGTTTCGAGCCATTTCCCTTTAGAGGCGCCAGTTTCTGGAGGGGCCCCAGGGCCAGCAATGTCCTCCCAGACGCAAGCGGGAGAACCGTTTTGGTCGGGGTCCCCCCCCCTCGAACGTTTTTATTTTTGGCCCCTCCGTGTTTCACAACCGCCCCCCCCTCAAAAGTGCAACAAAAAATGAAATTTCACTGGGGTACTCCCCCCCTCAAATTACAATTGTCAGGTGGCAGATTTTTGGGCAGCTTTGGCCTGCTTTGGTTTGCTTTTGCTTTGCATCTGGCTTGCTTTTGGTTTGCCTGTGGTTTGCCTTGGTTTGCTTTTTGCCCTTGGTTTACCTTAGGTTTGCGTTTGGCTTGCTTTTGTTTTGCCATTGGTTTGCTCTTGGCTTTCCTTTGGCTTGCTTGTGGTTTGCCTTTGGGTTGCCTTTGGTTTACCTTTGGTTTGCCACTGGTTGAATTTTTGCTTTTCTTTTGGTTTGGGTTTGGCTTGCGTTTTCTTTGCTTTTGGCTTTGGTTTGGTTCGCTTCTGGTGTGCGTTTGGTTTGCTCTTGGCTCGTGTTTGGATTGCCTTGGTTTACCTGTGGTTTGCGATTGGTTTTCCTTTGGCTTGCTTTTGGCGGCTTTTGGTTTTCTATTGGTTTGCCTTTGGTTTGCTCTTGGCTTTCCTTTGGTTTCGTTTTGCATTACCTTTGGTTTGCCACTGGTTTGCTTTTGCTTTGCTTTTTGTTTGGGTTTGGCTTGCGTTTTCTTTGCTTTTGGCTTTTGTTTGGTTCGCTTCTGGTGTGCGTTTGGTTTGCTCTTGGCTTTCCTTTGGTTTCGTTTTGGTTTACCTTTGGTTCGTAATTGGTTTTGCCTTTGGCTTGCTTTTGGTTGCCTTTGGTTTGCTATTGATTTATCTTTGGTTTGCTGTTGGCTTGACTTTGGTCTGCTTTCGGTTTACCTTTCGGTTTACCTTTGGTTTGACTTTGGGTTGCTGTTGAGTTGCCTTTGGTCTGCTTTTGGTGTGCTTCGGTTTGCTTTGGTCTGCATTTGGTTTGCTTTTGGTTTGCTTCTGGTTTGCCTTTAGTTTGCCTTTGGATTTGTTTTGGTTTGGGTTGTGTTTGGTTTGCTTTGGGGCGGCTTTTGCTTTGCCTTTGTTTTGCTGTTGATTTGCCCTTGGTTTGCTCTTGGCTTTCCTTTGGTTTCGTTTTGGTTTACCTTTGGTTCGCCATTGGTTTGTTTTTGGCTTTCTTTTAGTTGGGTTTGACTTGTTTGTGGTTTGCCTTTGGTTAGCTATTGGTCTGCCTTTGGATTGCTATTGGTTTACCTCTGGTTTGACTTTGGCTTGTTTTGGGTTTGCTTCGTTTGGCTTGTAGTTTGCATTTGGTTTGCATGTGGTTTGTCTTCGGTTCGCTTTTGGTTTGCTTTGGGTTTGCTTTTGGTTCACCTTTGGTTTGCCTTTGGCTTGCTTTTGGCTTACCGTTGGTTTGCTGTGGGTTGACCTTTTGTTTGCCTTTGGCTTACCGTTGGCTCGATCTTGGTTTGCCTTTGGTTTGTCTCTTGTTTTCGCTTGGTTTGCTTTTGGGTTGCTTTTAGTTTGTCCTTGGATTGCCTTTGGTTGTACCTGCGGTTTGCCATTGGTTTTCTTGTGGCTTGCTTTTGGCTGCTTCTGGTTTGGGTTTCGTTTGCTTTTGGCTTGCTCTTGGTGTACCCTTGGTTTACTTATGGTTTGCCTTTGGCTCGTTGGGCTAGACCCAAGTCAGAGAAAGCCAATATCTGCAGGCGCGAACGCACATGCACTCCCCAAATGCCCAGCCAGCACATTGGCCCAACGAAAACAGCCCCGCTGCAAATTGCCGGAATATTAACAACGACAGGCGGTCTGGTCTCTCTGCGATGAACAGAGCTTGCGCGGATGCAATCAGTGTGTAGGATGTTCCAACAGGTGATGGCCTCGCCCAGTGCCTTCAATAGCCTCTTGTTTGTAGGTAACGAATGGAAAGCACGACTAAAATACTGAACGGCGACAGACTCCAAAGTTACCTACTGAAGAAGCGAGCGCCCGCAGACCGAATGCTGGGGATGCTGGGGATGCTTGGGGTGCTGGCGGCTCTGCCAGTACGCGGGATGCTGGGGATGCCGGGGATGCTGGGGTTGCCGGGGATGCTGGGGACGCTGACGCTTGGGCTTCATATTTCGTTCGAGGAGCCTGTGTCGAGGTGCTCCTTGAAAAACTGATTCGAGCTGTTTACTGGCGTGTCCACGGATCCTTTTTTCGTGCGAGCAACGACTTCAACAAGACGGCTAAATTTTAGGCGTCTTTTTTGGATGCTTTTAGCGCTCGGCGTTCACTGGCTATCGCTTCCCCGAACCAGGTCCAAGCACGAAACACGCAAGCAGTAAGGAAGCAAGGAGAAACGGAGAAATAGCCGTCTTTTTTTGACCCAGAAAAGGCAAAAAAAGGCGCGCAAAACGAGCCAGCTCAACGCAGAAAGCACCTTGCAAAAGCGTGGTAAAACGCAGGTTTTTGCACAAAAATGCAGCGAGCGAGCCATTCCCGGACAGATGGGAAAAGACACCCAAATTTTAGCCGTCCTTTTCTGGCGCGAAATTCTGCAAATCAGGCCGGACCAGCCGAACCCCCCCCCGCTCCCCCCCCCTGTAGGCCCAACTCTCAACCGCTTCAAAGAAGCGCTTTCCGTCATCGGAGCCCATGTTGTATTAAAACATTGTCATGCTAGAAGGGCTGTAAGCCCGGCAAACCAAAGCTTGGTGGCCCGACACGTCTCTATGGCAGAACACCCTCTGAATATTAGCATTCCTAGTCCGACTGCCTGGCGGGTACAGCGGAAGTCGGACCAATGGATTGCCAAAAGTGCACAAAGTCTAGAACACTGGCTGCCATGAATCGAAATGCTGGCAACAAGAACCTACACTGGGTGCCGTCTAGCCAGAACTCGTTTCTCTAGGAGCGCGGCCCATGGGTGATCGCATGCCTCAGCGTCCATGTCATAGGTGCTCGCATCAGTGAAGTTTTGACGAAATGCCCCCAGAAACAATGAGAAAGAGGACTTGGTGATTTCCAGCATTTCTCCCCCGAGATTTGCATCCAAAGATTGGATGCCTTTGCAACAACAAGCAGAAGTACCAAATAACAGGCCGTGATGTGCAGCAAAATGCGTCAGCACCGGCGTCCAGCAAGTACTGCACAACCCACTGATGGCCGTGCTGCGCAGCAAAATGCAATGGTGTGAAGCCATCGTCGCTCGCCTTTTCTTTGTCAGCACCGGCGTCCAGCAAGCACTGCGCAACTGCGTGACGGCCGTGATGTGCAGCAAAATGCAAGGGTGTGCAGACATCGTCTGTCGCTTTCTCTTTGTCAGCACCAGCATCCATCAAGCATTGCACAACTGCCTGATCGCCCTGCTGCGCAGCAAAATGCAAGGATGTGGAGCCATCGTTGCTCGCCTTTTCTTTGTCAGCACCGGCGTCCAGCAAGCACTGCAACTGCGTGATGGCCCTGAAGTGCAGCGAAATGCAATGGTGTGAAGCCATCGTTGCTCGCCTTTTCTTTGTCAGCACCGGCGTCCAGCAAGCACTGCACAACTGCGTGATGGCCCTGATGTGCAGCAAAATGCAATGGTGTCAAGCCATCGTCTGTCGCTTTCTCTTTGTCAGCACCAGCATCCATCAAGCCTTGCGCAACTGCCTGATCGCCCTGCTGCGCTGCAAAATGCAAGGGTGTGGAGCCATCGTTGCTCGCCTTTTCTTCAGCAAAATGCAAGGGTGTGGCGCCATCGTCCGTCGCCTTGTCTTTGTCAGCGCTGGCATTCAGCAAGCGTTGCACAACTGCCTGATGGCCGTGATGTGCAGCAAGATGCAAGGGTGTCAAGTCATCGTCTGTCGCCTTCTCTTTGTCAGCGCTGGCG